TAGGGTTTAGGGTTTAGGGATGAGTATGCTTCCAACTCCTTTTCTCATGCGCGCTTTGGTTCCCGGCGCATCACTGCACGAAGAAAGTTATGAGTATCTTCTACACGGAATTGTGGTTCTTCTCGTTTAAAACGGCAGAATACTGCGTAACCCCGCTCTGCTATAGCAAGCATCCATTGATTAGGATCAATCGGGGCTTAGGCCGATTGATTTCGAGTGAAATCAATTATAGAGATTGATTTTGATTGTATAGGATATCAGTAGGACAAAAGGTACAGTCTGGAAGCATGAAATCAATGTTGAAATCAATCAAACTATACCCGAAAGTCCATCTTCAAATCAATCTGCAAATCGATGTTTAAGGGGGCCTCTGAAACCAAATCCTAAACCCTAAACCCCTCAACCCTAAACCCCTAAACCCTAAACCCCTCTTACACCTGGGATGTGTTGAGACTTTGGCCTCGCCAGCCCATTCTGGCTCAGGGGCCATGTTCTAGGGAGGTTTCCTTCTGCCCTCTTAGGGTTTAGGGTTTAGGGTTTAGGGTTTAGGGTTTAGGGCACCACTTCAGATGCTGCTGCGTGCGGCAATGCAGTGCAAGCGTTCAAACAAAATCCTGAGACTGAGAATTGCTTCTGAAACGCCAGCTCGACAGTCAGAGCGCAGAGCTCGCAGACGCAGCAGAAACGGCAGGTTTTAGGGTTTAGGGTTTAGGGTACTCTGAATTCAACTTCCTTCAGGTACGTTGCGGGGGCACAGCTCTTGGAGAGACTCATGCAGCCGGCGCAAGGTGATGTTGTCGTCCTCCGAAGGGCTTTGCGCGCAGTGGCTGCTAACAACTCTGCAACATATACAATAAATCCACTATACAATATACAATACATAGAAAAATTTACGATGTATAGTATATAATATGAAATAAAATAAAGTATAGAAAATGTAATATATATATATATATATATATATATTACATATTATATATATATATATATTATATATATATATATATATATACTATAGGATATGTAATATAATAGTAGCATGTGCACGGTCTTAGGAAACTGGGCCGAAGCTCCGGGTCTGTTCAGGCGATACTTACAGCCTTTGTCAGCTCTTAGGCATGTTTGGGGACTAGGGGTTTCTTAGGGTAAAAATAATATATATATATATATATATATACATATATATATATATATTTATATTCGAAAAACAAGAGAAAAACAAGAGGATTAGGTTACCCAAGAAAGAATATATCCTCAAAAAACAAGAGGATTAGGAAGAAGGAGGAGAAGTAGGAAGAGGTTACAGGATCTTAATGCTGGCCGCCCGTGCTGAAACGTGACACCAAAATCCAGTATCCATCTCAGCCTCCACGCCCCCAGAGACTGAACCCGACATCATCAACTCCAAAAGCATCAACTTCTCAAACCCCAAGCGCCCAATTTTTGACACCCGTTGAAGCAGGGCGCCATCCTCTACCTGGCGGCTTCTGCGCTCTTGGCCGGACTTCGGCCACTGTGGCAAAGCAAGGGCATGGCATGTGCAGCTAGCTAGAACCTGCAGATACAGTTAGGGTGTAAGCTTGAGGGTGTGGTCTATGGCTCAGAAAACTTGGAACGTTACAAGATCAGGAAGGGCATTGCAGAAACCAAGGACCTGAAACGAAATTAACAAGCTCCGGGATTGGAGTTGGAATTCGAGGTTTAAGAATGTCCTGCGTGGGACCCCCACTTCTCGACTTCATAGTTCACTCCCGAAGATCTCGTGTTGCCCTTCAGCTGGGGATGGAAGTTCTGGCTCAAGCTACTGCGGGAATGCGATGCAAGTTTCAGAAGCCGCCATGGTGAAACGATCGGCCCTCAAAAGGGCACCGGCTTGCTTGACAGTTCTCTGTCCAACGGAATACTGCCCCCACTCCGACTTTTGAGGAAGGATAGCAAATGGATGCATTTTCCTCGCTTTCTCTCGTCTAAGCTAAGGTGTCTGAGCTGCTTGCGAAAGAGTTGTCGAATCCTACATCACCGAGAAGACGACTGTCAGCCCTGAGTCGGAGCTCGCTCAGGTTCGCCGGGCGGCCACATCTGGCAAGGAAGCCCCTTCCCCCAGAGCATCAAAGCTGCAGACTGCAAGAGGCACCTGAACCGCAGTCACTGCACTTCCGAAACAGCCATCCCTACCTGTGCCCTGCACGGATTCTGAGTGCTTCGCTGCCTAAACACCCGGGTAGTAGCCTCGCCATTCATTGGCTTCCAGAGTCGCTTCCGCACGCGAAGCTCCTTGCGTCTACGGCACAACTGCTCGGAAGCTCCCATGAGATGCGTGCCTTGTCATGGGCATCTAGGATTATCAGGATTCTATCGCTCTTCGGCTCTTGCACATGCAGGGCTTGAGGTCACTGTTCAGGTTTGGGGCTTATGCATTTTTGGGAGACTAGAAAGTCTGACAGAACGTGAGCGAAACAGTAGGCAGAGTGACGAGCTGTGCAGACAGAAAGAGAGAGAGAGAGAGAGGGTGAGAGAAAACAGAAAAAATATACAAACCAACAAGAAAACCAGCGAACGACTCGATAAGCGGCGAGATCGGGGCAACCCGTGTGAAAGGCACCGGGAAGAACGAAATAGAGAGACCAAAACCCAGAACCCGGTGCGAATAGACTCGAGTGACTAGAAAGCCCATGCCCCCTACTGTAGGGGCCTAAATAATTAGAATAAGGGCTTTGGGGGCCCAGTATACTATAATTCCAGAACCGACGGCTTGCAAAAGCCTCGGACTCCAACCCCACACTACGACAGAAACCGCGCCTCCTCGAGCCCCTGCACCATCTTCTCCAGGGCCTGGAGCACCCTAAACCCCAAAAACCCTAAACCCCAAAAACCCTAAACCCCAAAAACCCTAAACCCCAAAAACCCTAAACCCCAAAAACCCTAAACCCTAAATATTAAATTTCAAAGCGGTCGCTTGGAACTGGGAAGAGGCCTTGAAGGAGAGAACCTTTTCCCCTATAAGTCCCTCTTCAGCGTGCCGTGTCGACGGTGTAGGCACCACCGAAAGGCTTCCAGAGCTCGTAGATGACCTGGAGTGTCATTACCTCGGATTTCTTGGTCTCACAGGTGTTAGTGGCTGGAACTTGAAGAGAAGAGCATGTAATCAGAGGGTTGGGGAGGGGATCTGATCTACTCCGAGCTTCGGGCTCTGCCGTGGACAAGGGCCTTAGAAGCGTGCTAGCTGCAGAACAGGGGGCAATGGCACCCGACATGGCGCCAAAGAATAGGGCCTGGATGGTCAAGATCCTCGGAAACAGAGTGGCCGCACCGAAGGACCTAGGGCCCTCTGGCCATCGGTTTAGGGTTTAGGGTTTAGGGTTTAGGGTTTAGGGATCAACCAAAGGATGCCGCAATTTTTCGGTCATGCCGAGAGCATTACGGTCCTGGAGCCCACGGATCCTGTCCATCCCCCTCCTGCCAGGGCGCTTCTCATCCGGGGACATAGAGTAGGTCCCTGCCCCTAAGAGAGGGAAGGCCATCAGCTCAAGGATGCCCAAGACGTAGAGGAGCCTGATTTGCTTCAGGAGCCGGAGGCCTGTCTTGAGACCTCCCTTGGAGCGCTCCGGGTTTGTTTCAAACCTCCTCCGTCTCCAAGGTTTAGGGTTTAGGGGCCTGGTCTGCGGCAGAGTCGCACGAAATGGATGGCAGGCAGCTTCCTGCGAGTTCGGATTGTGGTAGGAACAAAGTCGCAGGATTTCTCTGGAACGCTGGGCATGGGTTCCGTCCAAGCTGACGATACTCAATCCCCACTAAAAACCCCCATTACTGAACTGGCTGCTAAGTGGCTTCCACTCTTTGTCTCCTAAACTTGCAAAGCGGCCGATCTCATCTCCCCATAGATTTTGGTGTCAATGTCAATCCGTGCTTTTCTCCCTTGCCACGACGTATGGTCGTGTGGTCGTAATAAAGGGGCCTTGATAATTAGAACAGGTTTTTGGGGCCCATTATTCTACAATTATACTAAGGAACTTCCAAAATAGTATAGGTAATTATTTTAAGGCCCCTTTAAAGTAGTATAAGTAATTATTTATGCCCTCAAAAAAGCAGAGGTAATTATTTCAAGGCCCCTATGGTACACCTGAAAATCCCTGGAGCCTCTGCATCGCTCCCAATCGCTGGCCTCTCGCCTGGGCTTTGGTGGGGAAAGGTCTCAGAGTTTAGGGTTTAGGGT